TTTTTTTTTTTTTTTTGCCTTTTGACTATAATGAATAATGCTACTGTGAACATTGTTGCAGAAATGTCTAAGTTCCTCATTTTAATTCTTTAGTGTATGTACCTAGAATTGGAATTTCTTGATCATAAGATAATTCTATATTTAACTTTTTGAAGAACTGCTATACTGTTTTCTAAAGTGGTTATACAACTTTATATTCCCATTAGTAATGCACAAGGATTGCAAGGAATGATGTTTTTGATAGGCTTCTAAGAACCTAAGAACATGAAGAAGAAAATCAATCACTTATAACCCTGCTACTCAAATTAATACTGTTAACATTAGTTGTATTATTTTCCAACAAAAATTTTAGCATTTTGAACATATGGTTTTGTAATGTGATTTTAGAAATGTAATGTAAATATAGAATATAGATATATTGTTAAATAATTGTGTATGTATTTATTTTTAATACCTCACTGTTTTGCTTTTTTAAATGACATTATTTGTTTGTCTTTTTAAAATGTATATTGAACATATTCAAATCTAAATCTGTGTATTTTTCTGAGTATTTCCTTAAGATAAGTTCCTAGAAATAGAGTTGTTTGAAGCTTTTTTTTTTTAAGTGCAAAAGAGAAAAACATGCATTATTCTACCTTTCAGACAAGCACTTGTAGCATTTTGATGTATTTCCATCCATTAGTTCACAAACTTGATCAGCTTTTGTTGTGCTTATAGATAAGATCTTGCTACTTATTTGGTTAGGATGGGTGTCAGAGGCAAGGAACTTCTACTGTGAGCATGTTTCAGTCTTTTATATGGTATAGTGGATATGGTCTTTGCTACATAGTATCTCTACTCGTGGAGTAACAACGCTGGGTTCTTTTCAGACTATATATATATCTATATCTATAGATATAGATATAGATATATATAAATATATAAATATGTATAGTATATTTCAGAAATATACTATTTCTGAAGAATGATAGCTCCCTTGCATCAGATGTAAACTTAGGAACACTGGAGTGCTTAATTTACTATGCTCTTGAGATGAAATAGTAATGTAAGCCCCTCTCTATTATGGATTGGTGAAATCATTCACTTGACGTTTTAATCTCATTTTCTATAGTAACTTGTACTGTTATTAGGCCAGAATTAGAAATGGCATAATTCTGAACAATGTAAAATAGTCTGATTTTATTACAACTAGTTGTACTTTATTTTTAATCCATTGTGGTTTTGTCTAAGATATGATGATGTTGACTTTGTTGCATGCATTGACATTAAATTTGTATCATTGATTAGAGAAGCAGAAGTACTATCGTGTTATAAAGGATTTATTTTAAGGGTTTGTTCTTATGTGAGTATGGAAGTCTGTCTCTGTTGACAGTGTGTCTGGCACTGAGTATAAAGTTGGCAGAGCCAGCAGGTGGGAAGAAATGATGGATGTGAAGTGAGAAAAGCAAAGACCAACTACTACTTAAAATGATGTACTTCTCTTTCTCACCAGAACATGTATTAGTCTCATTGCCACTTATCCAATTTTGAGATGCAGGACATCTGTTAGAAAATTGGTGTACTTCATCATGGAATTGTGCCCAACCTGATTGAGGTTTCAGAGTAGCTGAAGGAGGCCAACCAAGAGGCCCTGGAAGAGCTGCAAGCTCCATTGTTTTCCAGTTATTTAGCAGCAGCTGGAGTTGTAAGCCCTGCTGCTGCCCCATGCCAACAAGGCCACCTTCCCTGGACTTACCTTGACCTTCTTAAATATGGAAAATATAGTTACTGTTCACTTCTACCTTCTAAATGACTAGCAGAGTTCTCTTATGCAGACCTAGCCCAGAACTATGCAGGCAAGGGAATTCTATGAAATGTTGTTTTAACCTAACTTAGTTATTACAGCACAGAACCACCAGATTTTACCTCTTGCCTATGAGAATCTGTACATTCATTTTTTAATCATATTTAACTTCCAAGCAATAGCACAACCATGCTTCTGCCTAAAATAATGTAAGTATCAATCAAGTACATGCTGACTCTCTCCCCAAAAGAGGGTACAAATTCTCTTTATTCATTTTTGAATGATGCTTATTCTTCTTTTTACTGAATCACATTCTCCCTCATAATCTTGAAACTTAAATCCTGACATGTGAGATTAACTACTATGAACATGTTTTTTTTTTTTGGTTTGTTTGGGGTACCAGGGATTGAACCCTGGGGTGCTTAACTACTGAGCAACATCTCTAGCCCGTTTGTTGTTGTTTTGAGACATGGGTTTACTAAGTTGCTTAGGACCTCCCTAAGTTCTGGCTTTGAACTTGAGATCCTTCTGCTTCAGCCCTTCGAGCTGCTGGGATTATAGGCATGCACCACTGCACCAGGCTATGAACACATTTTATGAGTCACATCCTTCCTGATAATCTTGAAATTTAAATCCCAATTTATGAGGTTAACTACTATGAACATGTTTTATATTAGATGTTCAGGGAATAGGAGAGGGACCAAACAAAAAACACAAACTTAGTTTATTTGCAAATAAAATCAGAAAAAAAGTCTTAAAGCTACTGTGGTTCTTGTTTCTCAACTGGTCTTATGGTCACAGCTGATATGGTCTTAGCTGCCTTCTTCAGCGCCCAATTCTGTACCCTTTGCCCTCAACAAGCTCCTTAGCTGGTCATGGTTCTTGCTAGGTGAAGACTTCCTTTAGCAGCTTGCTTATATTTGTTT